GAATATATTCGATATATAACCCACCCCTAGTCAAAACCTTGGATTTATCAACAAAAAAAAGTGACTGTAAGACATAAGAAGCAATAAATAAAGACAGTTCTTCAAAGTATGTCAGTGTGCATTTTCATTGGTTTCTCTTTGCAATCTTGGGGCCTGATTTTGCATTATGCTTCTTCCATCCATTCAACTTTCCATCTATATCATTGGATACAGCTTATTTTGCAAGAAACATTCGAGGTTTTTCTTCCGTGTGGAGAGAGGCTCTTTAAAGCACAGCTTTAAATTCTCCATGAGTGCATCTGTCCTGTTTCTCTTTTGAATTATTTAATCAAATCAATTAACTATAAATTCATTCATGGGCACCTTTTTATGAGCTTTATAGACGTTTAAATCAAATGTAGCATGAGTCATCCTCCTTGAATAGAAAAAAAGGTAAATATGTGACAACTCCTGGACTAAAATCTAAGACTGCTCAGTTTGTTTGAAACTTTTTCTCTTCCCCTAATCAGACACTCCAGACGTTGCAGCTTCCTGTGTGAGCAGCGCTGCTGCCACCGTGTCACTTTGAATCTTTATCTCTCTGTCTTTATTCTTATCTCCCCCCGCCCTCATTCTCCTTGCCCGTCTAAACTAGCAGAGCTTCACTCCAGCAAAGGAGACTGATCTAATTGGCGGGGAGACTCATTCTAATTTTATGAAGCAGAGCTTCTTTCGTCCTGCTATTCTGCCTCCCTTTTTGGCACCTTTCACACGATAATAAGAAAATACACCTTTAGAAGTTTGCAGCGGCGAGCATTTATTTATTTATTTTTTTTCATTTGTGCTCGTTACACCAATCACATTCGCAGAAGCAATTTGTCCGCTTGTCTGGGTCTGAGAAGGGCGGCTTATCTGCACTAACGCCCCATCGAGGCTACGCTTCGTTTCCAAATTGGACCCTGTTAGCATTCAAATGAAGAGAGCCCCTGCCTCCCCCTCCAGTGTGCTCCACCCCCCTCACCCCCGCTTCCCGTTAGCCTGCTGCTACGCTCAGAGGCAAAGGAAGCTGGGAATGGAAAAAAGCAGGATTATTGCTGTAGGGTATGAAAAAAAAAGTGCAAAGATGTCACAAAATAAACAGGAGCCCCCCCCCCCCCCCCCCCCCCCCCCCCCTTCTCTTCCTGTGCACACGTACCAGCAGCTAGTTAATCCACAGAAACCATCATTTTACAGAAACATTAAATGTTTATTTTTCCATTTTAAAACACAACATTAAAGGCCTTTTCTAATGGGATCTCCTTGCACAGGTGTATAAGTATACATTTTACAAACATTAAAAGTTAAAGTTAAAACTGGACTTGTGTGACGAGTGTTTGTTGTCAACTCTCCTAGAATTACCTTTTGTTTTCAGCCCAAAGCGTTTAATTCAGGGGTAACCAATTATAAACCACTGGGGTCCAAATAAAGAAAATCATTAACCAGTAAAGGTCTGGAGTCAATTAAATTATAATCTGTTACTTTAAACAGAATTTACACTTGAAATAAAATTAGGTTTTTATGCATCCATGTTATGCATTAAATTTTTAAATAAATAATATATATATATATATATATTTAAAAAAAATTGTCAATTTTTCCAAGTAGAGAACAACAATCGTTCAGTTTGGTATATAAACAATTTCCAAATTCACATATTTTATAAAATATGTGGACTGACCGTTTTGTTTTGTTTTTTCTTTCTTTCTTTTTTATTGCTTAACGAGAGCAGTGGGCTTTATGCTGCCCTGCAAGGCTTTAAACCTGGGTTTCATTGGCGATGAAGCCATTCTAAAGAACATATCAAGGTGCTTATTCATGAGCCTGGATGATTGAGCACACCATTTCACTTTTCTTTCACCAGTTCACCACAGTTCTTCCAGCAGTCCACTCTTTCTCTGCTCTCTTTATCTCATCATCTTCTCCTTCTTTCCCATCGCCCGGCTTGCCACAGGTTTGCCTGCTGTGTCTAAAAGTAGCATCAGCAGGAATCCAGAGTGACAGCAGCTCATTGGCTAATTTGTATCACATGCAGCCTGGAGCCGGACGCTCCACAGGGCTTTACCATATTAACAGTAGAAGCGGCACAAGTGAAGTTAGACAATGTTGTCGGACAACATGCAGTAATTTATAAATGTTTTAAATCAGGTGGGGTCTGGATTAGCCAGCAGTTGGGTCCAGATCCTGACTCTGGTCCGCTAATCCGTGACCTCTGCTTTGTTTGATGTATGTTTCTGTCCAGATTTGCTAATTTTTCTTAGTTCCCATTCAGATATTGGATGGAGAGACTGTGAACTATGCTGTTTGGTCTTGCCACTGAATTCCAGTTGTTGCATTTAGCTCTGGACTTTTACATTTTTATCCAGACTTTTGCACATTTCCAGTCATTCCAGTCTTTGGAACCACAAAACAGGCTTAAATTAAAGGAAACAACAAAGTTGCTCGGTCTTCCTGAAAACCGTTGCCGCTCTAGACCAAGATGACAGAGTTGACAACGGCTCCTGTATGTCAGTAAAACTGAACGAATGTCATGTGTCTTCAGTCTAATTCTGATTTGTGGTTAGATTTAGATATTTGCTTTGGATCCTTAAGAGTAAGTTTTTTATTGAACTTTCTCTTAACTCACATGACTTAAAGCCACCTAGAGTAAGTAAAAGTGATAAAATAGGATTTTTTTTCTGCATTTGATGCGTTCAAACACTAAAGGAACATGTTTGAAACAAGGAGCAAATTGGTTTAATGTGATCCAAATAGTTAGAAGTGTGTAAACATTTCATATTTGGACAAATTGACCTTATTCTATGTGTGGAAGCAATTTGGATACTCATCCACCAACGTTAGGATTAGGGTTAGCCCTCAGAGAGAGGATAAACAGAAAGTATCAAATAAGATTTGGTATAAAATCCACTGATCTTTATGTTTAGGTTTCTTGTAAAACTTCCAGTTTTTTTTGTTCACATTTGACTGAACTTTATCGGCCAAAATATTGACGATCAATAAATAACATCTCTATAAAAAGCAATCAGGGGTAGTTTTTTTTAAAAAAAGAACGCGGTATAAGAGCTTAAATAGAAACATTTAACTGCCTTAAGTTGGAAATAAAAGAATAAATATTTTAAAAATGGCTCAAATTATCCTACTTAACAAACACCATCTCCACACCATGATGCTGCCGCCACCATGTTTCCTCTGGAAATGCTTGTGTGTGGTAATGAAATTTGTTGTCCCATCCTTTCTTATTGTTCTACATACAGTTTACTTTCGAATTAGATATTTTTTGCTGTAATAGAGTTTATTAAGATTTTATAAAGTATATGTTAGTGGATTAAAGGACAGTCAGCTTTTTTTTTTATAACCTTTTATCATTTCTTTGCCCCACTTCACAGTAATACCCTTCAAGTGTTGTTCTGTCGTACTAAATTCCAATAAGTAGATTAAAGTTAAAGGGGGGGTGACTGCTTTTCCAAGGCACTGCAGGCTATCCCGGATCCTTTTGTTCATGAAAAGTGGGCTCTGAATGTGCTTTGCGTGTTGCTGCTCCAACAAGGTTGTTACCTCAGCACTGTATCCAGGAGGTCATCAGCATCTCATTGTTCACGCGATAAGACACAAAGCATCACAATGGCCATCCAGTCGGCGCAGGCTGCCACAAAGCTGTCATCAGCGACTCACAATACCTGATGATTTTCAGTAATTGCTTTTGATTTCACTAAGCCAGTTTCCACCAGTCCCCTTTGCTCTGCGCTGCAATTTAGCACTTTATTTTTGAAGATACTTATAAAATTAGGTCTAGCAGCAGTTTCAAAGTTCCTCGGCACAAAGGAGGAGGTGTTCATTAGCAACTCTGAGGCAACAGACCTCAAAAGAACTTGACAGCAGAACAAGAAGAGAGAAAGAGAATGTGTCATGAAGATGAGGATACCAAGGTGGTGCAATCCTTTGATCAATAGCTCTCCTTATAGCAATCCTGTCTCCTTACCCATCCATAATATACATATCTCTGTGTGCATCCTCTCTGTTATTAACAAGACGGTGTTGCTCCATCTCTGCAGTAGGTATTGAATTTTTAAGACAGACATTTTCCCCTTGTCTTCACCCGTGAATGAGGACAGGTGGAGTAAAAAACGCAAAGCCAGTGTATCTGCCGTGGCTTTAAATTAGATTCATTGATACTGGATGTAACAAAAGAGGGTTGATAGTATCAGACACGGGTAAATATTTATTACATTGGGAAAAAAAGGATTCAGGCCTCAGAAATGAGAGGGCGTCCAACGCTCGGCTTGGTTCTCATGGGAGAGCATGTTTGTCCGTGACAGTCATAAATATGGATCACGCTGGGAGATGACAGGGATTGTAATCTCATGGCTGTCTTTTGTCGAGCACATGACAAAAGTAAACCCCCCCCATCCAGCTCTCCTGCTGGTGGCGAATGCAGGTGGTAAAAATGAAAAGTTTCACCTTCTCCTGTTCATTAGTATGAGCCACTCAGCGACAAGTGGCACAGCGTTTAATTGGGTTGGAAACGGTGTCCTCGGGGTATTGGGGGGATGAGGGGGTAGTTTTCCTGGTCCTTTATCTGTTCTTTCTCTTGGACTAATTTGCAAAAAAAGGTAAATATTCAGAGGATTGTTTTGCAGCTGGGCCGATTAAGGCAGCTCAAGCATAGCAATGGAAAATGTGGACCGAACGGAAAGCCTGTAATTCAATTCACACCGCTCGCTGAAATGAACAGGACTTGTTGGTACTAGTCGACAGCTGCGGCTCCGCATCCCTACCCAGGGGGTGTCAAGTAGTTCTTCAAATTACCACACTGGGCTTCCAAAAGGACGCCGGTAGCAGCTCAGATAAGATGGCCTGTCATTCATATAGCACTCCAGAGTACAGAGAGTGTGCATCTGTCTTCCGCCGCTGCTCAACAGATGTACTAAATAAATAACTGATGAATAAAAGAGACAAACAATCTTTATGTGTTTCCCCACCTGCAGCTCTGAAGGACCCCTGCACGGAGGTGACATGTAGCTACGGCAGCACGTGCGTCAAGTCGTCGGACGGCATGTCGGCGAAGTGCATGTGCCCCCTCAGCTGCGAAGGCAAGCCCCAGCAGGCGGTGTGCGGCAGCGACGGGAAGGACTACCGCAATGAGTGTGAACTCCACCAGCACGCATGCAAGACCCAGAAAAACATACGAGTGCAGTTCCAAGGACCCTGCGGTGAGTCACATCCTTGGTTTTGTCCTGAATGTCTCTCATCATTTTGTCTTTCCAAAGAAAATAAAAAATATACATATTATAGATATAGAATTAACCAGCGAGCTTAGGAAAGAGTCTTCTGTTGTTTTTTTTCTCTTTATCATAGTCATTTTTTAAAAGGTATGTCTCTTATTCAAACTTAGTGATTTCTTAGTGTTAAATTATATTTGATTACTCTTCCAACATACTGTTAATATGCCTGAAAACAGTAAAAAGGATTTCTCTATGTTTTCATTCCTGAAATCAGCACAGAAATGCCATCAGATCTTTACATTTGCACATATTTCTACTCCTTTGTGGTACAACCTCATCCTGATACGTTCAGATTAGTTTCATAAAGCCATGTAATCTACCATGAAACCATAAAGAAGCATTTCCGCTTTATGATGTTCTTTGAAAAACTTTCCCCACTTCTTTTTTCCCCCTTTTATTCTTTGTTTACTACCACTGCCTTTGTTGTTGTTTTCCACATCCTCATGCTGCAGTTCCTTCTGGCACACCTCAGCTAATTCTCATTTTTCCCTCAGATTGCTTTGCTTCACGCAGGCCTTCCTGTGGTGTGAATTGTTGTTTTCTCTAAGTAGGTCTTCAGAGCTGTCGTTATTGTCTGTTTCTTTCGCTCTTCCTTGTTATCATCTGGCAAGTCGTTTTTTACGCTCAGCGCGCTCAACTTTTACTTTTCCTGGCAAGCCAGATGGAGTGAAAGAACAACAGAAAGTAACTCTGCCTCTCAGCAGCAGGAGCCAAAGCCAGCTGTTGGGCGTCGAGAGATAGATGCGTATTTCCACGGGCAGAAGGTTGGTCGTATAAATCCAGACCAAATCGCCCGTGTTTCCCTGTTTTTCCCTCAGAAGGTCCAAGGCACGGGGGAGCAGATGGCCCTGATGGTTCTCTAAATCTCCCTGCAGCCATTTTATCTAAAACCTCAGGCCAAACCTGTTTGATTTATCCACACTGGTAGTTTTTTGCAGAAAACAAGCTATTCTTTTTGTAATTACCCTACTTGCTCAGCTAGAGAAAAGCATGGATCCTGGAAGCAGTCCTTCTCAGTTAATGAGAGGTAATGGTCTTTCTCTCAGATAATGGTCTGGCTGGCGGCTGAGGCTCTGCGTCATGCAGAGACACTGCGTGAATTATGATAAAACCCTTGTTTACTCGGCTGCGAGTCTCTCTGCAAGCCTTTGCATTGTGCTGCTAGAAATCAATCCGAGTCCTGGCCGGTGGTCACCCTGCCTTTTTAACCAAACCACTCCGTCCCTCTTTTAAAAAGCCCTGTCATTGTCATTCCTTGTACTGCAGCCAAAGGTCTTTGGAAACCATCCCCTCTTATTTTTCTGTTTCTCATTCTCTTTCTTCCTTTCCCGATGATAGGGTGTTTCATCCTTGGCGTGGTTTGAATGACTCGCCCAAACTTGGCAGTGATTTAATGCGTAGCGGTTCCACATAAATCCTTTTGTCCTTTCCCGCATCCTGGAAGCGTGGACAGCAGGATAAAGCCTGTGTTACAGTTTCCAGGAGGTAGAACCCTTGTTCGGCACATCCTCAGGCCCATTTCATTATGATCTGTGGACTGATAGGGCGAAGTGAGCCGAAGAAGGGCTCCTCTGGAGGAAGGGAGGAAGGAGGGAACTAATTAAAGCCTTGGTCTCTTCGTCTATTTTCTTGTCTTGGCTTCACATCCAAGGTCCTGGCCTTTCCTGCTCTCATCTCCAGGTTTACATATTATCTCTGAAGCCCCTTCCCTTTTGTTTTCTTGTTCCAACCCCATCACCATTAACCAGACTGAACATTCTAGCAGGGCATTAGACATGTCTTCAGATTAGTGAGGGGTTTAGACAACATGACCTGTTAAAAGATGAGATTTTAGGACAAATTTGAAGCCATTTGTCTTTTTTGCTGTTACACTGAGGGTAATGGTTTTAACATTAAAACAAAACAATGTAGAAAATGATGTCCAGATTTCACTAGTCATTGTATTGCTTTGTTTTTATCTGATTTTACGGTGACATTTGACTTGATCTTTCTTTTTTTTCACAAATTGAATCCATTTTTCTTTGTATTATTTTTACCATTGCGCTTCAGGGCGCTACATAACTCAGATCATTTACTAGAGGTTTACACCTGCAGTTTAAAACTGTAACACTGCTAACTTTGTGCTTATAGGAAGCACTAATGCTAACGGTTAGCTTTACTTATTTATGCCTACTGTCACTGTCTCCCTTTTCTGCTCAAAGCAAACAGTAAAACAGTGTTAGATCTTATTTCAGACTATAGATTTTGTTCTTTTTCCAAGACCAACTTTATTTATCAGAAATCATTTATGCTCTTCAGTTAAAACTTTGTCAATGTTTTGTCATTTTAGTCAATGACTAGTTGGGTCACAAATCTATGATTTTTGGGTAGGCGGCCAAATCCATCTAATGCCGTAACCTTTCACCCTTTAAGTAATGTTTACTATGAATCACTGCTGTTAGCTTGGTTCTAACTGATTGTTACTGCCTTCACAGATCCTTGCAAAGACAGTCAGAACAGTCTAAACACTATCTGTCGAGTGAATGCCATGACCCGCCAGCGTGAGATCTACAAGTCACCAGAGTCCTGTTCTGAAGATAAGGAGCCTCTGTGCGCAAGCGACGGCCAGACATACTTCAGCGAGTGCGCCATGATAGCCACAGGCTTTCAGAAGGGCATCAGCCTCAGGAAGATCCATTCTGGCCAATGCAGAAATCTGGGTAAGGAAAAGCTGCTAGTTAGCTTGAGCTGGCTTAACATTTAACAAAGAGATTTCCAAGTATGAGGACGTTTCGCTTCCCATCCAGGAAAGTTTTTCAATTCAAGATGTCAGGAATAGCGTTGGGTTTGAGGCTATATACAGTAGCCCAACAAGTATATAGCCTCGAACTAACATTTGGGACATTTGGAATTGAAAAAGCTTCTAGGATGGGAAGCGAAATGTTTTTTACCTTCTTTGGAATGACTATGACCTGGATGACTGAGAATCTTCCCCAGTATGTTTAACATTGAGAAGTGAAAACTTATCTTTGGTACACTAAATGTCAATCAGTTCAGATTGAGAGACGGAAGGGCTCAACTAGTGAGCTCACATATTAGGAGAAAAATTATTTTCTCCTAATATTTATTATTTTAGGACAAAGAATCTAAATTAGCTCATGTATGAGCAAACCGACCAGGCAGCCATTGTTGTAGGAGATAACAGATTTTGGTCGGTCTGTCAATGCAGTGCTTTACAAAAGCCTTCATTCCCAACATTAAAAACACAGACATCAGCCTTTTCTTTATTTTGTGTTTGGAAGATTAACAATAAGTCAAGTTTAATTCAATTCAAAAAATACTTTAATGAAAATGTTAAGTTTTTTGTTCTCTTTTCCATGAGTTCTTGATAACTGTAGGCAGGAAGGATAATCTGTAGCGATCTGTCTTGCATTAAAGCTAAAGATCATTAAGTCTTATGTTGGTGTTCAACAGTCTGATGAAGAAGTGGCTCACCTTAGTCTACAATGTTATAGAGATATATTCTTCATTAAATCATCTCCAGAGATTCTAGACAAGTTTCTTTGAGATTTTACAGTTGTAAAATCTGTAAAATTTGGAGGCTGGTTGAGGACCCAGAGATGAGTTTTGGTGATTTAATGACGGCGGCAACAGAAACAAAAATCCAGAAAAAAAATACTGAAAATCAAAAATGAAGTGGAAAGTAGAAATGAAAAAAAACAGCTGTGAGTAACTGCAGAGGTGGCGTATAAATTGGGAACAGAAAAAAGAATGGGCTAATGAGCTGGTATGGAGCAGCTGTGGATAGAAGTAACTAGAAGGGAGCCAAGGGGAAAGGAAACAGACACAAGGGGGCAGCAGAGAGCAACACAGCTTAAATATAACACAAAATGGAAAATAACCATATTTCAACCAAACAGTAGTGATGGTGAGATGAAGCCTCGTGAGGCATTGAAACGTTTAGGCTAATTGCTTCAACGATCAACACAGTTCACGTAGCTTCATTTGAACATCCACCTACTGGTGGAGTGCATTACTACAGTTAGTAATATAATCAGATTTTTTTGCCGTTGTTTTTCTTGGTTTGTTTTTTTCTATTTAAGTTCCTTTGAAATTGTTGATGATTGGTGTGTAAAATCTTTTTAAAGATTTTTTTGTGTGTAAAATGTCTTAGAAGAGAACAATCATTTAAGCTACACTGTTTCTCTGCCTTTTTTGTGAAATAAGCTCAACCAGTCAGTGCTTGTCTGAACGTTCTTGTGCAAATTGGGCAATGATGAGCAAAATGTAAGGTATTAGTCATTTTTATTCAAACATAATAGTTTTTCCAGAGTTTATGGGTTAATCGGGTTGGAAGTTATTCTTTTGGCTAAACCAGCCAATCTAAGAAGGCAGTGTTTTTACCCAATCTATAATTATACAAGGGCAAACCAATACAAATTAGTCACATTAGCCAGAAAACTCAATTTCAAAAGTTTAAGGTGGGTCTCAAACCAACAACCCCAAGATTGGAAATAAATGTCTTATAGCCATTAGCAATGTTAACTGCACATCTAAACCAAAATAGTTTTAACCAACTAGGTTGTCTATTCTTAGAATATATCCAAACTCTATCCAACTGACAACAACTCTCCTCCAAACTCCCACATCTTGACTGAATACTGAGGCTTTTTAAATTCCTGCCGAAGTTCTGGGTGAACTGAACCGCTTCTTGAAGCGGTCACGTGGGGTGGCGGGGTAGCGAAGCTTCGGACCTCATCTGTTTTGGCACCTCCCCGAAATGAAGCAAGCCTTGATAGGCACCTCGCGGAAACGCCCCCTCAACTCCTCGACACAGCCTCGAAAACCCACGGCTCATCTCATGACATTACTACAAAACTCAAAGTCCAAAAGGGGAGAACCATAACATGTTATTATTTCAGTATTTAGAAATCATTAAACTGGAGATCTCTCTATGAGAGTTGTTTTATACTCTTAACCTCCTTTTAACCTCCCCACAGTTTTATTCCTGATCCATCTGTTGTTCCTCTTAGTTTTGATGACGCTGTTTATTTCTGATATTTATCAAACCTTTAAGGGGCTTAGAAAGCACCTGTATTTGCAGTAGTAGGGATACTAGAGTAAATGGGTCTGAGTGGAAATGCTTCTCTCACTATTTAAATGTTTGATGCGATTTCTTTTTCATCTGGCTTTTTAAAAGTTAAACAAAAGCTTGAAACTTAATGACAAAAAGTACCTGTGCTGCTTTCCATGATTTGGAGGTAAATTGCCCACAGGTCAGTGGGTCTCTGCTGTATCTGAGCTATATCACGGACCTCCAGTCCCGCCTGATAAAAGCCTGCAGGGCTGTTATCTTTGCTATTAGAACACGGGGTTTAAGCCTCCGTCAACAAAGAGCTGTCAGCTTTTACTGTACGTCTGATAGCCATCGGAGGAAATCCAATTTCACCGCTGTGTTGTCAACGCGGCGTCGCGAGGGGAACAGCTGTGCAGGTTTACAGCCGTAATGCACGGCAACACTAATGCACTAAGACCCTATGATACAGGCAGAGACAAGAATGGATCTAAACACAGGGCGTCCTTTGGTACAGGCAGCACTGACGGCTGATATATAGTTTTTAGACACTCTATGGTTCTGCTTGCTGCTCTGCTTGACAGCGTGATGGACGGCTGTGAAGGCTGCAGGACGCATAAATCTCAGCCAAAGTGGATTTGTGAGTTTGTTGTTATTTGGCTGACCAGGTTCATACATGTGAGCAAGTGGATGAGTTATTTTTCTCTGCCAACCCCACCCCTCGCGTTTGTGCTGTGCCGCTTTTTCAAATAAAAGAATAATTCAATTCGAAACAGAGATCCATGAAATCATATCCCAAAGCAAATTACAAATTGGTAACTAATGAAAATGGCCATTTCGCCTCGTAACCGTGACATTGCACATCCGCGTAGCCCTCTCGCTCAGATAGACCAGCGACGTAATTAAATGTGGCATGACAGGCTTTTAAAGAAAAGAGGAGAAGGAACTGAATGGCTGTACAAATTTAATCCACTGATCAGGAGTGAAATAAATGTTGAAGTCTAGCGAGTGCCTCCAGAATAGAGGCCACCTTCAAATTGGATTTTCTCACTTCTGCGGCAAATGCGGCGTGTCACATTACCACTATTCCTTTCGTTTTTCCTAATTCCTTCTGTAGATTTCTGCTAACTGGGACTGTGTGTTGGAAATATAACAGTAGGACTTTAATTTAAACCTTAGAAATTTAATTTATGATTAATAGTTGGGTTTTCATGTCAAAGTTTTTGGAAAATGTTATCTTCAAAGCAGCTGAAAGTAACTTAGTGAGAAACTTTGCTTTTTATGACTGGGGGAATGTGATTTGAATCATCATGGTTCCTTTGAGTCCAGAAAGTGTTTAACAAACTCGAGTTAGAGAGAAAGATGAAAATATAGAAGAGAAAGAAGAAAATATAGCAATACAGAAAGGAAAAGATTTAGGTTCCAAAACTACAGTTCTATCCATCTATCCATCCAACCATCATCCATGCAATCAATGTTTCATCCATCCTTTAATTCATCCATCCATCCATCTTTCCTTTATCATCCATCCCAACATCCACCTGTCCATCTATCCATCCGTCCATCATCCATACAATCAGTGTTTCATCCATCCATTCATTCATCCATCCAACCATCCGCCCATCCATCCATCTGCCTATTAATCCATCTGTCTATCCATCCATCCAATGCCCGTCCATCCATCCATCCATTCATCCATCTTTCCGTCCATCCATCCATTTAATCATCATCCATCCATCTGCCTATTCATACATCCATCCATCTGCCTATTCATACATCCATCCATCCATCCATCCATCCATCCATCCAACCATCCATCCATCCATCAATTTATCCATCTGTCCATCCATCCATCCATACAATCAGGGTTTAATCTTTCCATTAATTAATGCAACCATCCATCCAAGCATCATCCATCCATCCGTCATCCATCCATTCTTCATCCATCCATCCATCCGTCATCCATCCATCCATCCATCCATCCATCCAAGCATCATCCATCCATCCGTCATCCATCCATTCTTCATCCATCCATCCATCCGTCATCCATCCATCCATCCATCCATCCATCCAAGCATCATCCATCCATCCGTCATCCATCCATCCGTCATCCATCCGTCATCCATCCATCCGTCATCCATCCATCCGTCATCCATCCGTCATCCATCCATCCGTCATCCATCCATCCATCCGTCATCCATCCATCCGTCATCCATCCATCCATCCATCCATCCGTCATCCATCCATCCATCCATCCATCCATCCATCCGTCATCCATCCATCCATCCGTCATCCATCCATCCATCCATCCATCCGTCATCCATCCATCCATCCATCCATCCATCCATCCATCCATCCATCCATCCATCCATCCATCCATCCATCCATCCATCCATCCATCCATCCATCCATCCATCCATCCATCCATCCATCCATCCATCCATCCATCCATCCATCCATCCATCCATCCATCCGTCCCTTTCTTCAATTGTATGAAACCTTCAGTCTGTTTTTTTCCATGTAAACCTGGATAACCTCTGAGTTTATTGGCATTTCCTTTTCATTGTTAATAACTATCTGAAGTCGGACCCACTGATTCTTCCTAGTCTTGTGTTTTGTATTATAAGGTGACAAAGACATTCCTTCCTGATTTTTCTTTATTGTATTTCTATGGAAGGTTTAACCTCTGCTCCTGAAAGAGAAGCTTTTCCACACCCCACTGGTGACATCAGTCTATCCTGACATGTTATTACTGTTTGGATAAAAACTGATTTATTTCCCAGTGGTTCAGCCGGCACGCTCACAATGCTGGCAACGCTTCAACACTCACAGCTCTGAATATTGTTTTTTTTTTTTTTTACTTCTGTTGTCCTTTCTTCGCAGTGATTAGTCCGTCACGCTGCTACCAGAACTGGCCTTATCAGCATCCGTACAGATGTATGACAAATCTTTAAAGAAAACACCCTGAATAAACCAGTGAAAGCAGAATGCTTCCAGGGCCAGAGTGGTCACTGAACGGTTTGATCGGTTGAAAATGAGACGGGATTAAGGGCGAGGTTATCCTGGAGGAACTCAATTCCCCTTCACTGGGTTAATTCAGTTGTTTTGTTTTTTCCACTTTCAGATGTGTGTCAAGAAGATTGTCTATTCAATGCCGTGTGTGTGGTGGAAAAGTTCGGTGCCCGCTGCTCCTGTGATCCCATCGAATGCGACGCCACCTACAAGCCACTGTGCGTCAAGGATGGACGCACTTTCTCCAATGACTGCCACCGACGCAAGGCGGAGTGCATGGGCAAGAACCTCCTCCCCATCAAGCACTACGGGCCCTGTGGTGAGTGGACCTGAGGGACCGGAAAAAAGGACTACCTGTTTCTCTGGTTGAGTGTTTGCAGGATGTTTTCTGTCTGTATCTTCCAGGCTGACTGCCTGTCCGAATCTGAAATGCTTAGCTGACTGTCTCCAAAGATTGGAGGGGTTCTACATTGTAAACTAGAATATGTATGCATTCCTTTGAAAAAGAAGTGCCTTCACCTCCCATCCATCTCCTCACTCTGTCACGCTTCATTCCTCCAGCTCAGACACAAGCAAACCGAAACACCACCTTCATCTTTCATTCATCCGCTCCCCGTCTCTTGACTCTCCCGCTGCTGAGGCTTTTTGCTCTTCCTGTTCCTGTCGTTGTGTCTTGTATAAAAATATCCTCTCTTGTTTCAGTGCGTCAGTCTGTCTTTCTGTCTGTGTGACCGTCCTCTGGGCTGCAGGTGGACCGGGGGGTCAGCCAGCGGGCGACCTCATCAGGCGGACTCTGAGGGGTGAAGCCCTCCCCCTCGCTCCGTGGGGACCTAACAGCAGGGGGTCTTGTACTGTTTCCTTTTTTTCCTCTCACTCCACCTGCCTCCTTGTGTCCATTTGTGTCATTAATGTCTTTTCCCTATGTTTACCCTCCTACAAAGACGTGACCCGTGAGGTTGGAGAAGCCTTCCCTGTTCTTGCTCTCTCTCCATGTCTCTGATTTCCTAACAGAGAAGAGCTTTTTTTTCCTTTTTTTCTGCTGCTGCCCTCTGACTCTCTCATTCCTGCATGCTGTATTGCACATCAGCTCCTCGACTCGCTGCTACCATAGAGCCCTCTTTTCCATCACTAGAACTGTGTAATAAACGCTACCAGCTGCTGAATCGATGCATGACTCTAAGTTTTACCATCTGGGTTAGATTTTAGCTCTTAGGTGAAGATAACCAATCTTTGATTAGGATTTCAAGATGTTCGTCCAGTGGCCTCACAAATGACAATGGATTTAATGCGGTAGATTTCCGTGAATGTGTGCAGGAGCTACATTGAGGTTGCATATAAAGGGTGCATCTGAGACCTTGAATTCATTCATCAATATTCAGGCCTACAGGAATTCTGACTGCTTCTACATACATTGTGAAATAACTGCAAGCTCTCGGGAATGCAAAGATTTCCAGGAAGGTGCTATGATAGGATAGGACAGCAGCCAATATCTAAAAGCCATTTCATTATTATTCCATTATTATTCCACTTCCTTTAGTTGTGTTATAAAATAGCAGAATTGAGTGGAAAAGGCAGCATTTCAGCCACAAAGATGGCTCACAGCTCAGAGCATCAAACTTTGTGTGTCCTTGATATTCGGCCCATAAGCACTCCTTGGGAAAAGGTTTGTAAACTGCAAAAACGATCTAAAAATAAGTACAAATTTCTTAAACTAATGGATTTAACCTTAATTTGAGCAGGTAAATAACATGATTTGCCAATGAAATTTGTTTTTTTTTTTCTCTCTTAAGATAAGATAATTAGATAATATGCACTTGAAATAAGAGAATACTGTTGTTTTTTGTGTTATTTTTAATGTAAAATGTCTTCTTCATTTGGCAAAGTATCTCACTTACCTCCTCATTTCAAGAACAAATTACTTACGGTAATTAGATTTCAGTAATTTTTAGTGTAAAACATGGATGATTGAGTCCTGCTCTGCAAAAAATGTCCATCTAGCTAATTCCTACCATTTTAGATCTAGCCATAATATATTTTTTTATGTTGTTTTTAGATTGATAAACTAACCAAGCAGACTCTGTTATTAACTATTATTAATCTTCTTTTAAGCAAATGATTCTCTGCAATAATCAGCCAGTACAGGAGGACAATTGCACATAGTAATACTTCTTGAAATCATGTAATATATTTTCAAAAGCAGATTAAACATAATTAAATTAATAGATTGACCTAGAAGAGAGACTGGGATCCAGTCCTGCTTGTCCAACATCAATGTCTGACCCCACAAATGGTTAACTAATTTCCATTAACATGCTCCTAGACCCTATTTATTTTTAAATATGGCAGAGTTGGTCCTCCATACTGCTGGTCAACATGAGATGGTCAAGTTCTTATATGCACTACAAAAAAAATCTAGAAATAAGTCAAAATGTCTTAAATTAAGTGTGTTTATTCTGAATTTGAGCAGGTAAATAAGATGATCTGCCAAAGGAAGGAAGATTTTTACTCTTAAAACAAAATAATTAGATGATATGCACTAGAAATCAGCCAATGCCATTGTTTTTTTCTTATTTTATATGTAAATTGTCTTGTTCCACTGGCAAAGTGTCAAACTTACCTCCTTATTTCAAGAAATAATGCAATTTTTTAAAGAAAAAATGACTTATTTAGATTTATATTTTTCGCTGTGTGTTTGAAGGTTTCTAAGTAATCATTAGAAACAGAAAAGGATTTAATTTTTTCTTATTGAAGTTAGATGGGGTATTTGCCCAATGGTTGGTTTTAAATGGTTTGTTTTTCATGTGGGCCAGGATTTGGAGTTTTTCTATTTGTATCTCATTCTAAATTATTCCAACCTTGCTAGAAAATATAAGTATTTTTTTAAATAGTGGTTTAATATTTCAGTAATTTTGGTCAGTTTTCCCAATAAAGGTGCACTTTTAAGACATGGAAGAAGGCTGTAAAAAGAAATTAGTTTTCCAAAAGACGGCATGCTTTGGAAAAATCTTGGTTTTCACAGCCCAAGAAGGAGGGTGTATGAATTTTATTATTCTCTCTAAGTTGGAATCCGCCTCACATGTATCTGACTGTGTCCAGAATATATCCAACCAAGATGAAAGTAACCCTCAGGTCAGCAGAAAGGAGTTTGAAGCAGAGACTCCAGCCTTACAGTTCACACGTTCACACAGTTTCTGAAACAGCTCTGGGTGGTTTGCTTTTACACTTGAACCTTGTCTCACCGGCTTCTGTCAGATATTTAACTGGGAGGTTGGGAGGAAAACCCCCCGACCAGAAGCCCAGAGCAGCCTCAGCCAACATTTGCATTCTTGCTTGCCACTTTTCCAGAACATCTCGGGTAGAAATTATCCCAGCACAGCAGCGGAAAACAAAAATCTGTTTTCCGTCCATAAATAGTCAGATTTGCTGCAGGGAGCCTCACAGCTTTTCAGATTTGGATATGCAAGCTGAGTGCTGTCAGGTAATCCCAACAGCAGAAAACTGGTATTATTGTTGTCAACAACTAATATCTATAAAGATGACAATGTTGGCTAGCAATCTTCAGATTTTTTTTATTTTTGTTTATCTGCAGACTTAAATTTACTTGAAATTCCTCTGATAACTTTAAAGGGAAATGCTAAACCGTGTTTGAATTTCCCTCCCCCCTCTTTCATATTTCCTTTCCTGTCAGCCCACTATACAAAAAAACAAGCCTCTAGTTCTTTAAAATCCTCCAAAAAAAAGGAAAATTTTTATATCTGTTAATATTTTAGATCAATTTTAAATCAGGTTTTAAGAACAGATAAAGTTAATATAGAAAGCTTGCACTGCAAAAACGATCCAGAAATAAGTAACAATGTCTTAAATTTTGTGTATTTACCCTTAATTTGAGTAGGTAAATAAGATTATTTACCAATGGAAGTAGTATTTTTACTCTGAAAATAAGATAATTAGAGAATATGCACTTGAAATAAGACAATGCAATATTTTTTTCTTATTTTAAATGTAAATTGTCTCGTTCCATTGGCAAAGAGTCTCAATTACCACCTCAGTTCAAGAAAAAATGCACTTATTTTAGGAAAAAATTACTTATTTAGATTTACATTTTTTGCAGTGTGTTTCCATTTCCTCCCAGTCTCGCTACTCTTGTTGCATCAAGGTCGTTGACCTTTACCTCCTGGATGAGACGCTGACACGCTCTTTCAGTAATTTTGGTCGCCCTTCAAATAAAAGTTCATCACTCTCCTAGGTTATCTTCATCATTTCATCGTTAATAATGGTTCAATATGGCCTAAACTTGTATTAGGATTTATTTCTCGATTTTGGTTAATATGATACAGTTCAATAATAAATAATATGAATATTTATAACCTTTTCATATCCATAATGGACGCCTCTGTGGATTAATTAAAGATATTTTACCACTTCTTTAAGACCCAACATAATCATTTTAACAATAATAATTATTACAAAAACCCATCTTAGTATTTTGCAGCCAAAGGCTTAAAAGATTAAATGTATTTAAAACCTGATGATTATCTCACTCCTTATATTCTCTTTTAGAGGTTCTTCATCATTGTCTCTTTTTTTTTTTTTTTTACTATCATATTTTTAGAACAGACACACCTAAAAATGAAAGATTATGTTCACCTGTCACTATATTAAAGTATCAAAACATCTATAAATAGCTCTGAGAATATAAAATAAAGCCCCCTGATCAATTCTGAAGTATTCTTGATAAACCCTTATTGGCACTGTAGGCAGCGCTTCACCATTTTTTCTTTTTCAATGCAAAAAAATGAAATCTAAATGAGTAATGTTTTCTTAAAATAAGGAATATTTTTCTTGATTGGAGGAGGTAAGTGAGACACTTTGCCAATGGAACAAGAAAAGTTACATTTAAGATAAGAAAGAACAATTGCATTGTCTTATTTCAAGTGCATATTATTGAATTGTTTTATTTTAAGAGCAAATATTCTCGTTCTATTGGAAAATTATCTTACACTGGAAAAAAAATCAAAATCTAGATAAGTAATTTTTTCTTAAAATAAGTGCATCTGTTGTTGAATTGAGGAGATAAGAGACATTTTGCCAATTGAACAAGACCATTTAGATTTTAATTAAGAAAACACAATTACATTTTCTTATTTCATATTATTTGCATATTATCTAATTATCTTATTTTTAGAGCGAAAACACTCATTCCATTGGCAAATTATCTCATTTACGTACTCAAATTGAGGGTAAAAACACTTAAATTAAGAAATTTTACTTATTTCTAGATCATTTGTGTAGTGTGTAAATCATCTCGTAACCCCTCCC